CCTCAACCTCTCCCTGTGTCTCCTCGAGCCGTGTCGTGTACTTCCTCGAGGACATATGAGTAATAAACTTCTCTAGTTCAATTTCTCTTGTGGTCTTTTGTTAAGCTGTGGCTTGCCATTTGGCATCCTGTGCTCCACTCAACAAACGTTGATCTAACAAAGTCTTAACAGCAACATTATTTGGCTACTTGAAGTGTTTTACAACTTTGGGAAGGATTAAAAGACCCCTAGTTAGGACAGCGCTTTTCTAGACCAGAGGAGGCAATGCTGAATATTGCAGGACACTGTCTGTAGGCAGAGAGTGACCAGTGGATATGGGAGATCAAAAGGAGGAACTTGGGGGGGCTGGCCCCGTGGCCGAGTGGTTAAGTTCGCGCGCTCCGCTGCAGGCGGCCCAGTGTTTCGTTGGTTCGAATCCTGGGTGCGGACATGGCACTGCTCATCAAACCACGCTGAGGCAGCGTCCCACATGCCACAACTAGAAGAACCCACAATGAGAAATATACAACTATGTACTGGGGGGCTTTGGGGAGAAAAAGGAAAAAATAAAATCTTTAAAAAAAAAATTGCTTTTTAAAAAAAAAAAAAGGAGGAACTTGGGCGGAAACTGAGCAAAATCTAAAAGGCATGGACAAGTGTCAGAATTATTTATCTGCCATGAACAATTCCCTTCTCAACTTCGAGTCCATCCAAATCTTAGTTCATCTTGGAAAGTTGAAGCCTTTAAGCCTCATATTCTACAGCTTTTCTCTTAATGAACTCTGCCCTAGACTATTTGCTCTTTTCCAAAACTGCATGTAAATGTAAATGCTATTCCTTCTGCCTGGAATGCACTTCTCACTCTCTTTTTCCCACCTGGAAAACTACTCCTTACTCCTTAGGACTCAATTCAAATGTCTTCTTCAATGTGACTTTATTCCTGTTTCTGATCCTCCAGCAGAAGTAATTTTTTTCTTCAATATAGTTCCCTGTATGATGTTACTACAATAACCGTGTTGTTCCATAATTACATATTCACATTGTTTCCTACTAGATTAAGAATTATTTGAGAGCCATTACGTCATATTAATGTTTGAATCCTGAGCATCTATCACAATGCATATAAGCCTGATAAATAAATGAATGGATGGTTTGAAGGATGGCTGATGAATATCTACCCTTGAATCACTGTTATACACTCTCTAGTCACTCATTAATTCATTTAATCACGCATGCATTTAGTTGACAAAAAAATATGTATTGTATACCTCCTATGTTATTATCTAGAAGTATGATTTATATCGTGTTGTTAGTGTCATCCAGTTGATTCCAAGGTTTAGTGGCCTTGTGGACAGCAGAGCAGAACCTGCCCGGTCTTCTTGCACCTTCCCCTCACCTTCTGGTGCTGTATTAGATGAGGCTCTGCTGACATTCATAGGGTTTTCATGGCCAATTTGTTTTAGAAGTGAGAGGTCAGGTCCTTCTTCCTAGTCTGTGTTAGTCTGGAAGCTCTGTCCACCATGGGAGACTCTGCTGGTATTTGAAATACTGGTGACAGAGCTTTCAGCATCACAGCGACATACAGCTGTCATAGTATGACAAGAGACAGACAGGTGCTGTGGTTCCCTGACCAGGAAACAAACCTGGGCCACAGTGGTGATAGCACCTAATCTTAACCACTAGACCACCAGAGCTGCATTTATGTCATTAGACCATATTATTTTCTAGAAGTATTCTTTATATCATTTATATCATTAGGTTGAGAGGATTTATTTTTTCAAACATTCGATATCCACTACCCTCCTCCAGACTGTCCCTGACATTGCAGCTGTTCCGTCTCCCAGTCCACTATAATTTCTATAATTTCCCAGTCACTAATAATTTCTCCCATGCTCCCTTTACCCTGGTGGCTACAGCTGCTGATCAGCTTAGTGGCGGAGTTCTCCAGGGAACCTGTTTCCAGATTTGATTTGTGCCTGAGTGAAACCCCTGCAGCCATTTGGAGGTAAGGTCAACAGTTCTGTGAGGGTTTCTGGTCTTTGATACTGTAGAGGGTCAGCGTATGAGCAACATGGCAAACTGGGTCTAACACAAGCTAATGAAGCCAGCGCACATTTCCCTGGCAGGCACCCTAGGCCCTGTTCTTCATCTATTTGAACTAAGATGCCTCCTGCTCACCAATGTGGCTCACAGGACAGGGCAGTGCCTGCCAGATGTGAAAGAATGGAGGCGGAGCGAGGGAGTACAAAGCACTCTGTGAGTGCACTTCAGACCAGAGTAAACATACCTCAATCAAATACCAAACAACCCTCTGCAATAGGGATTATGACCCCCTGTTTACAGAAAAGGAAAACACTGAGGTACTGAGACACTGAGTAACTTAAGTTAGGTCCACAGCTAGAAAGTGATAGAGTCAGGTTTTAAGGCCAGATCTGGTTGATTTCAAGGTCCAAGGTGCATCATTTTTTCTGTACAATCGCCTACCATTCCAGGAAAGCTAAGTTCAGTTCAACATGAAACAAGACTTCTTAAAAATTAGAGCTATCCAATGAATAAATGTCTTCAAAACTTAGTGAGCTCCCTAAGTAGAATTCAACCCCAGGTCAGAGGAACATGAGAGAACAAAACTGTCAAGGAAGCTCGAAAATAAATTACTCTATTTGCTGGAATGCTGGTTTTTAGATTCCTTTCTTTGTCTAAAACTCTATGATTATAGACAGACACACACACGCACACATGCACACATCCAGAGAAGGTCCTCATGGTGATGAGGTAAAGAGTAACAAGCTTAAAACTGTGTGCGCTTAAATTGCAAGCATCCAGGGGCTGGCCCCGTGGCCAAGTGGTTAAGTTCGCGCGCTCTGCTGCAGGCGGCCCAGTGTTTCGTCAGTTCGAATCCTGGGGGCTGACATGGCACTGCTCATCAAACCACGCTGAGGCAGCGTCCCACATGCCACAACTAGAAGGACCCACAACGAAGAATATACAACTATGTACCGGGGGTGCTTTGGAGAGAAAAAGGAAAAAAATAAAATCTTAAAAAAAAAATGCAAGTGTCCATAATAACAACAATAATAATAATATTAATGGAACTCCTCAACCACACCAGGAGATGTGCTCAACACAGTTCATATATTATCTCATTTAATGGGCATAATAATAGTAGCTACCTTACAGGGATGTTACAAGGATTAAATTAATACATGTAAACTGCTTAGAATAGTGCCTGACACATAGTAAGTGTTGAATAAGCATTAACTGTTCTTATTACTATTACTCCTTGCAGCAAGGAATAAAAATAGAACACCCATAAGCCACACGTGCTGGAGGCTACAAATGCAGTACGGAAGCAGGGCAAGAGAACGAGGACAGGAGTGAGCAAGGCGTCTTACTATTGATTACAACGTGGGTAAAGGAAAATTGGGATTTTTAAAGCACTAGTGTTATAATCCAGAGTAAATAATTTAGGCAAGTGTCTTAATCTTGCAAAGCTTTGATTTCTCCATCCTTAAAAGGGAATATTATAGTACCTACCTCACAGGGTTGTGTTGAAGATTATATAATATCATGCATCTAAAGCACTAAGTCTGGGGGTTGGAAACTAGATTTAGAAAATTCCCCAAATATTTAAAACAATTGAGATTCACAGGTTAGTGTAAAATATCTTCAGGATATTTTTCTTTCTTTTCTGTCTCCCTTCCCTCCAGTACACCATTCCATTGACTTTGGTATGGTTTACCAGAAAAAAGCAAAGATGTAAGTGGTTCAAAATAAACTTTCATGGTTTATTAAAATATAATTCAATAAGAATTTATTGAGCATTTATCATGCTACAGAGTAGTGGTATTTTGCTCAGTGATGTGAAGGAAACAGGAGTATATGAAAAAGCAAAGCACGGGAAGGGCGTAATAGGACATAGTGGTCAGAACCTGGCTGGGAATCCACACATACTCTGTATTATCTGTGTGACTTCGGGACAGTGTTTTAACCGCTGTAGGCTTCAGTTTTCCCAACCATAAAGTGGGGATGACAATGGTATTCATCTCATACGGTTGTCATGAGGATTAGATAAAATATTCCCTGATTAGTGCTGGCACATAATAAGCTTTCCCTATATGTTAGCCATTGCATACATTTACACATAAATGACAAAAATTTCTAAATATATGTTAGGACACATTACCTGACAACTCTTATGTGCATTTATGGTAACAGAATAAAATACTTAAAATCATAATTGACATGAAAATTCTGTGATTTAGGAACATTCACACACGCACACGGTAGCTTCTAAATTTATAATTTTAATGGGAATACAATATTTGCACATAAGTAACAACCAAGATCAATAATCACATGTGAATAATCATATATTGAATGTGTGAGATCTCAACTCTAAGAAAAGGCGAGTCCAACAGGCAACTTCCACTCACTGGCTATAGCCCACACTAACAGCCAGCTCCCTAAGAACCAGAACCACAGCTCTCCCATTCTATCTTCTACCTCACAGTGCCTATCACCAACGCTGTGTTCAACAGGTATTTATTGAATACATGAAAAAAATACAAAAATGATGGTTACAAAGTCTACTGTAGCACCATGAGAAATGTTTATGTTACTCTATCCAACAGAAAATCACAATATAACATTCCAACTACAAATTACTAAACATATTTATTCATCCATATAAACTCAGACTAAAAGGAATTAAAATAAAAAGAAAACAGTTGATTTGTTAACACTGTCACATCTTTCGTCTGACCCACAGAGTTTGAAGACATCTTAAAGAAATACTGGTCCAATGTGCTCATATTACAGACAGGGAAGGAGCCCTAGAGAGCAGAAGTCATTTACTCAAGTTTACCCAGATCAAATAGCAAACGGCAGGTTTCTTATCTCTCAGTCTCTTGGGTTTTTTCTACTAGACCAAACACCCCATTCTACTCCCTTCTTATACTCACCCCCCACTCCACCATCACCCAACCCTCCCCCACACAATGAAGTACTTGATTTAAGTGAATTTTATTTTTGTCTCTTTATCCAGGATTTCATCATGAAGTCAGAGAAAATAATCCCTCTATATTACCCATCATAATATAGGGCACAAAGAATGTTTCAATAAATGTTTATTTGAATATTGATTCCCTCTAATGGAATTAATATGGTGTTTCAAAGGATAAGATTTTTGAGATATGAAAGGAGGGAAAGGGTAGAGGCCATTTCAGTTGATAAGAATCAACAACATTCTCATAACAAATACATATACCACACTTACCATATTAGGCGCTAGGAACAGAGTGGTAGACAGAAACGCACACCGTTCTGTTCTCACAGAAGTCTCTGCATAGAAGGGGAGGCAACACCAAGTCGTTCAACAGTTGTACAGGCAATAGTTGTACTAGCAGTGTAGAATCACAAACTGAGAAAAGTCTTCTGAGGAAAATGGACTGTTCTTTGACAGTATATGATAAAGGCACCTTCCACTAGGAAGTGGTGCTTGAGTTTGTGATCTGAAGGACAAATAGGAGTTAGGGGATGACACAAGTGTATAACATGATGAATTTGAGGCTCGGAGAGGAGACTATCTGATTAGAGTGATGGGTCCATGCAGTAAGGAAAGGGGTGTGGAAAGGAATATATTGGAAACAAGGATGGACAGATGGAGAGATGGAGACCAGATTATGAAGGACCTTGAAAACACAAGGAAAAGGTTACCAAAAAGAGGAGCTATTAAATAATAGTAGTGAAAATAAAAATAGAAGATACATATGCATATGTATATTTATACAATAAATAATATATATGTAATATGAGCCAGAATAAGGATGGACCGCATCTCCTTTAATCTGGTTATCTCCACGTTTAGAGATAAGGAAACTGGCTAAGAGATGCAAGACAACTTTGTGGCCGATGCCAATCAGTAAGTGCTGACTTCAGCTCACGGCCACCTGCACTTGAGTAAAGGTTTTCCAGAAAAGGACTGAAGTGATGACAGCTGATGATGGCTTATAGCGCACATTAGGGGAACGAGAGCCAAGGCTGTTTCAGAATCCAAATGTGAAGAAATCTGGGCCTTGGACCAGAGTATTGGTCATGGGAATGGAGAAATAGGGTCAAAATAGGGGGAAAACCCAAAAACCAAAAACAGATGCCTGGGCGGATTGGGTAATGAAGGCAAAAAGTTAGTCAACTATGAGTCTAATATACCGAATTTGGATGATTTGGAAAGATGAGGTGCTGTTCCTCTAGAAGGAAAGTTTGATGAGAAGCTGGTTTTTAAAGAGGCAGGTGTTAAATAGGAAAAGAAAAGTCTATCGAAACTTTACACCCAGATTGGGCGGTAAGAACATAAAACTGATCAAAAAGTAAGTTAGCTACTCAAGATTCAAACTTGTCTGAAATGGGCTTTGAACTATTCATCAGAATTTACGACAAAACGCCAAATGTATTCACTAATACATATGTTAAAATGCACACTACTTGTCTCACTTTTGACTAATGAGGCTTCAAATCCTCCCTGAATCTCTCGCGTTTACAGAAGGAAATTAAAAAATTGATTGGTTACTTCCTCCACACATGTGGACGCCTCGATTGGCCAGCTGCCGGTGGCTAGGCAACCGGGCGGAGAGTCTTTGGGACAAGTAGCCGACTTCATCACAGCAGGAGCCGTGAGGCAAGGAGCTCTGGGATCAATTAAAATGCCAGGCTTTTCCAGGCTGGTTTCCAGCGCATCTGTGCATGATTCCACATAAATTTAGGGAATTAGAGATCAGACAAAGGTAAACATTTCTGTGCCTTGCTTCACACTGATTTAAAATGAGAAGATGAAATACACCCCAGTCATCCAGCCTGGAGGGGTTTACACCTTTAGCTGATTTTTTCTCCCTCAATTACTTTATTATTTTAGGTATGTTGTAATCCAAGACTCCTTAAATCATCTGTGCATTCTTTTGAGGAGGGGAAGAGAAAAAGAAACAAAGAAAAAACCAGTTCTTAGTTTCATAGACTAAACAGCAGAATATGACTCATTCTTTAATTTTATAGTCACACCTCTGAGAGAAGAAATTATTAATGCTCTTCATTTTCTAGCTATTCAGGCTCCTGAGCTTGGTTTCGATAAAAAGCTCATTCATGTCCCCATAGAAAAGGAAAGACATTTTCTCCCTAAGACTCTGTAGAAGTCTGACCGTTTGCAGAGCCTCCTCCCCTTTTGTGTTTTGTTTTCTTATTTTATCTATCCCTTGGAGCCTATGGTTCTGGCTATTTCCCTAGTGCCGGAGGTCACGGACGGCCTGCTTGTCGGGGAGGGTTGAACTTCCACAGAATCCTTTTCACCTGGGCTGAGGTAAGGGGTTGGAGGTGAATCTCCGAGGCAGCAAGCAGCAAGATAAAACCAGTTCAGAGATGGGAAGGTGCAGACGAGATGCTAGAAGACAAAGACACGGCAAATATCATGAAGGGCAAGTGATATTATGTCAAGTCCTATAGAGAAAGACAATCCTCTGATATCACAGAGGTGGCACACAGTTACCTTTCATTACACAGCAGTAAAGCAGAAAGCCCTCAGCTTTGGCCGCATAGTCAATATGGACCTGAAGCAGGACCTGGAGGTAACTTTTGAGTGAACTTGACCCGCTCGTTACCTGCTCGACTCTATACTGGTAACAAGCGTCGGCAAAGAAGACCTCCAAAGTTCTTTTCAGGTTTATAGTCGCAAATTCTATGAATTAATTCAAAATGTTTTAGGTACAAAAATAAGTTTATTTAGAATTGGAAAAGAAATCACACTAATTGCTAATTTGTAAAAGCTTACAGGAACTACAATCTTAGAATTATCAAATCTGTCCAGTGACTTGAACCTTGCACCATTGTGAGACAACGCAGTCTAACAGAATGCTTTCTATCTGGAAATCTACTTGTCTAAGAACTACACCCGTTTTCCTTTTCCATGGTATATCTTTTCTCTTTCTTTTACTTTCAACTTTTGTGAAACCTTATGTTTTCAAACTTTTTCTTATAAACAGCCTATAATAGGTGTTTCTTAAATTCTACCTGAAAAATCTTTGCCACTTAACTGGAGCAGTTAATTCAAAGTACGAGAAAAGCAAAAAAGGAAATCAACACTTATTGAGCATGTAGGGCTGGACTCAGTGCTATTCATCTATTTTATTTTTAATTCTCACAACAACCCTGTGAGGGAGACCCAATCTCTACTCTGCGAGCGAGGAACCCAATGTTCTGTAACATGCCAGTGGTCACCCAGTGTTGGATGACAAGGCTCCTGTCTTTCTTACTATCAAGCCCGTATTCTTTCTGCCCCACCACACAGGATTCTCTCACTCTCAAGAAATCTTATATAATGAGGATTATCTGCCTAAAGTTTGACTTAAGTTAAATAAATCATTTGTTCTGTATGTATGTAGGTGTAAGCGTAGTATTACGTAAATCCATAATGAACTTTTCCAGAAGAACAGAAAAGCTTAAGAAAATAACAGTTTAACTCTCTCCCGCAATTTGGTCTGAACAAAGATCATGAGAGAAATGGCGATCTCCCAACAGAACACATTTGAGAAGGTTGCGGGTTGGATCCTTGAGTCTGGTGTTCCAACTCTAGGTACCTTTAGAGTAACGTAATGCAGCTCTTGCCAAAGCACACAGTGAAGTATTTTAATAAGAGAGTGAGTGCAGGTTTAAAACTCAAGCAACCTGTGGAAGGGTATTTTAATTTTCTGTCATCCACAAGTGCCTGTAATTAATGCTGCTTATATGCAGTTGGCATATTTATGACCTCAGTTTCCTTCTTATACGCACCCTTCACTTTTTTCTATCTATTAATAGTGCTCAGAGCCCAGGGAGCAAGTGACTGCAAGTCAGCGGAAGCTGAAAAAATTGTCTAAGAAGACATTCATACGAGAATGGTTTCCAAAAAGCAGTAATTACTTCTGCCACATTCTTTGAGCTGACTTAAATCTAATTTAGGAAATTCTTCATTAGTTTAAAAATATTCTGCTTCTTCCCTGAAGGAATTATTTTTTATTTATTTATTTTTTTTCAAGTGGAGGGTCCCTCAATAACGACTTTAAATGGTAGATGCTTGGGATCCCCATGCAATGGTAGAACATGGGATTCCCATGGGGGTGGAGGGCAGCAACTGGTTGAAGATGAGCTCAGAATTAAAAATTAGGAATTACATGAGAACTGACATGCCATATGAAACATTCCAAAGGTATGTTTAACCTAAGTATGTATAAAATAATTAAAGACTATTATTACAAAGAAATAAAGACCACAATAAAATTATAGGATATTGTGAAATAAAGATTAGATATGGAAACAAGTAGAACTTCTAAAGACAATATTGATACTTAAATTAAATTTCTTATGGATTTATTATAAAGATTAGGTAATATTGAAGGCAGAAATAGTGAAGTGAAAGATAGATATGAATTGCCCAGAATTGGTAGAGATAAAAATGTATGTAAAGAGAACAATAAATGTGTGGGAAATATGAGAGGGAGGTTGAGAGAAATTGAGGAAAAGATGTGATGATTCAATATGCATCTCGTACAAGTTCTTCAACAAGTGAATAAATAGAATTGGGCAGAATTAATATTCAAACAGATAATGATTAAGAATATTTAATAACTAATGAGAAACATAATCCTTATATTGACAAATCACATCAGGTCTGAACTAGGGCAAATACAAATACATCCCCACATAGACATATTGTCATGAAACTGCAGAACACCAAATTCAAAGAGAACATCTTAGAAGCAATCAGAGAGAAAAACCAGATTATCTAAAAAGGAATAGTAATTAGATTTTTCAGCAGCAGGAATAGAAGTCAGAAGGCAATGGAATAATATCCTCAATAAAATGAGAGATTAAGAAGTCTCTGTCAAAATTGCTAAATCAATCCAACAAAAAATTATTACGGATGTAAAATATTTCAATAAATCCAAAATCTGTTTCTTCAAAAAGACTCAATAAAATAGATAAACCTTTGGCAGAGTTGTACCAGTAGCAGTAGTAGAACAAGAACAAGAATGAGCGGAAAAGGTGCACGTATGCAATTATACGAACTAAAAAGCCATTGGTAAAATATAATTAAAAATAAAAGAATTAGAAAATTTAAGGCAAGTTTTCAGAAAATTATCAAGATTGACTCCAGAAAGAGATCACAAATCCAAATGGATCTCTAAATTATTAAACTCAATCAGTAGTCGGAAGTCCGCTCACAAAAAAGTTATGAGCCCAGACGGTTACAGAGGTGAGTTTTAGCAAACTTTCAAATAACTGGTAGTACTACCTCATACTTCACACTTTGTACTGTTATGAAGACTAGAATGGAAACAAAACAAAGAAAATTTCAATTCACTTTTTAAACTTGCATACACTTGATAGTAAACTGAAAAGTGTAAGAAAAAAATGATAAGCCAATTTTATGTATAAGATAACGCCTAATCCTAGTAGGTGTGTATAAAAAAATACATCATTCTTAACGATGAAACTTCCAAAGTCCCTTTAGAGGCAGTAACCAAAATGATGACTGTTTTCCTGTTTCTTCCAAAGTTGTAATGGTGATCCTACCTAGTGCAATAGGAGAAAAGAAGAAAGAAATAGGAGGTAAAATGATTGGAAAACAAGAAATAAAATGAGTATTCCCAGGTGAGAAGATGCTTTACATGAAAAAATTCCAAAAGAAAATCAGAACTCTCTTAGAAATAAAAAGATAAATCATCAAGATTGCTGGCCAATAAATTAATAGAAAAGAAAAATCAGTAGCTTTCCCATAAACTAACAATAACGAATAAGATTATACAGATGATAGATAGATAGATAGATAATCTCTTCACAATAGCCTCAAAACTATATTACTTTAAGAATTGTCTATCAATATAATATAAGATTTAATGGAGCCAATTGTAAAATTTTATTTAAAAGCATAAAATAAGATCAAAGTAAGTGAGGAGGTATTCCATGCATGTGGATGAAATGATTCAATATTCTAAACAGGTACATTTTTCCTAAGTAAATCTATAAATTCAATGCTATTCCAGTCAAATTCCAATAAAATTTTTGAAAAACTGATCACATATTTACATCGAAAGTAATGAACCTGGAAAAGTCAAGTCCAATTAGAGGCAGCAAGGCAATGGGAATCACTCCATCAGTCTATAAGATACCAAGATGACTTACAAAGCTAGTTAAAACTTTAAACCTGGGAGGTAGTGGGACAAGGATAGACAAAGACAGAAATGCAGTAAAATAGAGAATACATGAATAGAATACACACGAGCACATTTAGACTGAACGCTTTTCTATTAAAATCAGATAAAAGCAAAAATCTTCTCTTGCCACTTCTGTTCAGCATTGTCCTGGACATCTTAGCCAGTGCCAACAATAAGGGGAAAAAAGAAAAAAGGAAGAGAGCAAGGGAGGGAAGGAGAAATTAAAGGCATCCAGAGCTGGAGCAGGGGGCCAAGGGGAATGAAGTATAACTGTGTTTAATGCAGATAAGATTATTCTACATATAGAAAATATTGAGATTTTTAAAAAAGTACAAGAACTCATAAATGGGTTCAACAAGGTTGTAGGATACAAGATCAATATACACATATTGTTTGTATTTCTATATATAATAATGAGCAACCTGAAAATGAAATTAGAAAACAATTTCATTTACAATAACATCAAAAAGAACAAAATACTTAGGAATAAATTTGACAAAGGAAGTGTAAGACTTGCACTGAAAACTAGAAAACATTGCTGACAGAAATTAAAGAAGATCTAAGTAAATAAAAGACATTCCATGTTCTTGGATTAGAAGACAATATCACTGAGAAAAATAATTCTCTAAATTGATCTATAGATTCACCATAACACCAATTAAAATCCCAGCTGGAATATCTTAGGAATTGACAAACTGGTCCTAAAATTTATATGGGAATACCAATGGCCCTGAACAGCCATAACAATTTCAAAAACAATGAACAAAGATGGAGGATTCTACCCAATTTTAAAACTTATTATAAAACTACAGTAATCAAGATAGTGTGGTTCTGGGGCTGGCCCCATGGCCAAGTGGTTAAGTTTGCGCGCTCCACTGCAGGCGGCCCAGTGTTTTGTTGGTTCGAATCCTGGGTGCGGACATGGCACTGCTCATCAAACCATGCTGAGGCAGCATCCCACATGCCACAACTAGAAGGACCCACAACGAAGAATATACAACTATGTATGGGGGGCTTTGGGGAGAAAAAGGAAAAAATAAAAATTCTTAAAAAAAAAAAAAAAGATAGTGTGGTTCTGGCATAAGGTTAGGATAGATCTATGGAACAGAATTGAGAATACAAACATTAACCCTTACATTTACAATCAACTGATGTTCAACAAAAGTGCCAAGTAAATTCAATGGGGGAAATT